GTTATTGTGGAAGGGAATTTGTTGTCCAAATTTTTGATACTCCAATGGATTGTAAACTTGTCATTATAGAAGGTAGTCTATTGTCGAGATTTTTGTTACTCCAATAGATGGTAGCCTTGTCATTATGGAAGGTAGTCTCTTATTGATATTTTTGTTACTCCAATGGATGGTAGCCTTGTCATTATGGAACGTAGTCTCTTATTGATATTTTTGTTACTACAATTGATGGTAGCCTTGTCATTTTGGAAGGTAGTATGTTGTCGATATTTTTGTTACTCTAATGGAAGGTAGCCTTGTCATTTTAGAAGGTAGTCTGTTGTCGAGATTTTTGTTACTCCAATGGATTGTAGCCTTGTCATTACAGAAGGTAGCCTCCTGTCTAGATTTTTGTTACTCCAATGGATGGTAACCTTGTCATTATTGAAGGTAGTCTGTTGTTGAGATTTTTGTTACCCTAATGGATGGTATCCTTTTCATTATGGAAGGTAGTATGTTGTCGAGATTTTTGTTACACTAATGGATGTTATCCTTGTCATTATGGAAGGAAGTCTATCGTCGATATTTTTGTTACTCCAATGGATGGTAGCCTTTTCGTTATGTAAGGTAGTCTGTTGTCGAGATTTTTTTTACTCCAATGGATGGTAGCCTTGTCATTATGGAAGGTAGTCTGTCGTTGTGATTTCTGATACTCCAATGGATGGTAGCCTTGTCATTTTGGAAGATAGTATGTTGTCGATATTTTTGTTACTCTAATGAATTGTAGCCTTCACATTATGGAAGGTAGTCTCTTGTCGATATCTTTGTTACTCCAATGGATGGTAGCCTTGTCATTACGGAAGGTAGTCTGTTGTCGAGATATTTTATACTCCAATGGATGGTAGCCTTGTCATTATGGAAGGTAGTCTGTCGTTGTGATTTCTGATACTCCAATGGATGGTAGACTTGTCATTATGGAAGATAGTATGTTGTCGAAATTTTTGTTACTCCAATGGATTGTAGCCTTGTCATTAAGGAAGGTAGTATCTTGTCAATATCTTTGTTACTCCAATGGATGGTAGCATTGTCATTACGGAACGGAGCCTGTTGTCGAGATTTTTGTTACTCCAATGGATTGTAGCCTTGTCATTATGGAAGGTAGTCTCTTGTTGATAGTTTTGTTACTCCAATTGATGGTAACCTTATCATTTTGGAAGGTAGTTTGTTGTCGAGATTTTTGTTACTCTAACGGATGGTAGCCTTGTCATTATGGAAGGTAGTTTGTTGTCGAGATTTTTGTTACTCTAATGGATGGTATCCTTGTCATTATGGAAGGTAGTCTGTTGTCGGGAATTTTATTACTCCAATGGATGGTAGCCATGTCATTATTGAAGGTAGTTTGTCATTGTGATTTTTGTTACTCCAATTAACGGTAGCCTTGTCATTATGGAAGGGAATTTGTTGTCCAAATTTTTGTTACTCCAATGGATTGTAAACTTGTCATTATGGAAGGTAGTCTATTGTCGAGATTTTTGTTACTCCAATAGATGGTAGCCTTGTCATTATGGAAGGTAGTCTCTTATTGATATTTTTGTTACTCCAATGGATGGTAGCCTTGTCATTATGGAACGTAGTCTCTTATTGATATTTTTGTTACTACAATTGATGGTAGCCTTGTCATTTTGGAAGGTAGTCTGTTGTCAATATTTTTGTTACTCTAATGGAAGGTAGCCTTGTCATTTTGGAATGTAGTCTGTTGTTGAGATTTTTGTTACTCCAATGGATTGTAGCCTTGTCATTACAGAAGGTAGCCTCCTGTCGAGATTTTTGTTACTCCAATGGATGGTAACCTTGTCATTATTGAAGGTAGTATGTTGTTGAGATTTTTGTTACTCTAATGGATGGTATCCTTTTCATTATGGAAGGTAGTATGTTGTCGAGATTTTTGTTACACTAATGGATGTTATCCTTGTCATTATGGAAGGAAGTCTATCGTCGAGATTTTTGTTACTCCAATGGATGGTAGCCTTTTCGTTATGTAAGGTAGTCTGTTGTCGAGATTTTTTTTACTCCAATGGATGGTAGCCTTGTCATTATGGAAGGTAGTCTGTCGTTGTGATTTCTGATACTCCAATGGATGGTAGCCTTGTCATTATGGAAGATAGTATGTTGCCGATATTTTTGTTACTCTAATGAATTGTAGCCTTCACATTATGGAAGGTAGTCTCTTGTCGATATCTTTGTTACTCCAATGGATGGTAGCCTTGTCATTACGGAAGGTAGTCTGTTGTCGAGATATTTTATACTCCAATGGATGGTAGCCTTGTCATTATGGAAGGTAGTCTGTCGTTGTGATTTCTGATACTCCAATGGATGGTAGACTTGTCATTATGGAAGATAGTATGTTGTCGAAATTTTTGTTACTCCAATGGATTGTAGCCTTGTCATTAAGGAAGGTAGTATCTTGTCGATATCTTTGTTACTCCAATGGATGGTAGCATTGTGATTACGGAAGGGAGCCTGTTGTCGAGATTTTTGTTACTCCAATGGATTGTAGCCTTGTCATTATGGAAGGTAGTCTCTTGTTGATAGTTTTGTTACTCCAATTGATGGTAACCTTATCATTTTGGAAGGTAGTTTGTTGTCGAGATTTTTGTTACTCTAACGGATGGTAGCCTTGTCATTATGGAAGGTAGTTTGTTGTCGAGATTTTTGTTACTCTAATGGATGGTATCCTTGTCATTATGGAAGGTAGTCTGTTGTCGGGAATTTTATTACTCCAATGGATGGTAGCCATGTCATTATTGAAGGTAGTTTGTCATTGTGATTTTTGTTACTCCAATTAACGGTAGCCTTGTCATTATGGAAGGGAATTTGTTGTCCAAATTTTTGTTACTCCAATGGATTGTAAACTTGTCATTATGGAAGGTAGTCTATTGTCGAGATTTTTGTTACTCCAATAGATGGTAGCCTTGTCATTATGGAAGGTAGTCTCTTATTGATATTTTTGTTACTCCAATGGATGGTAGCCTTGTCATTATGGAACGTAGTCTCTTATTGATATTTTTGTTACTACAATTGATGGTAGCCTTGTCATTTTGGAAGGTAGTCTGTTGTCAATATTTTTGTTACTCTAATGGAAGGTAGCCTTGTCATTTTGGAATGTAGTCTGTTGTTGAGATTTTTGTTACTCCAATGGATTGTAGCCTTGTCATTACAGAAGGTAGCCTCCTGTCGAGATTTTTGTTACTCCAATGGATGGTAACCTTGTCATTATTGAAGGTAGTATGTTGTTGAGATTTTTGTTACTCTAATGGATGGTATCCTTTTCATTATGGAAGGTAGTATGTTGTCGAGATTTTTGTTACACTAATGGATGTTATCCTTGTCATTATGGAAGGAAGTCTATCGTCGAGATTTTTGTTACTCCAATGGATGGTAGCCTTTTCGTTATGTAAGGTAGTCTGTTGTCGAGATTTTTTTTACTCCAATGGATGGTAGCCTTGTCATTATGGAAGGTAGTCTGTCGTTGTGATTTCTGATACTCCAATGGATGGTAGCCTTGTCATTATGGAAGATAGTATGTTGCCGATATTTTTGTTACTCTAATGAATTGTAGCCTTCACATTATGGAAGGTAGTCTCTTGTCGATATCTTTGTTACTCCAATGGATGGTAGCCTTGTCATTACGGAAGGTAGTCTGTTGTCGAGATATTTTATACTCCAATGGATGGTAGCCTTGTCATTATGGAAGGTAGTCTGTCGTTGTGATTTCTGATACTCCAATGGATGGTAGACTTGTCATTATGGAAGATAGTATGTTGTCGAAATTTTTGTTACTCCAATGGATTGTAGCCTTGTCATTAAGGAAGGTAGTATCTTGTCGATATCTTTGTTACTCCAATGGATGGTAGCATTGTGATTACGGAAGGGAGCCTGTTGTCGAGATTTTTGTTACTCCAATGGATTGTAGCCTTGTCATTATGGAAGGTAGTCTCTTGTTGATAGTTTTGTTACTCCAATTGATGGTAACCTTATCATTTTGGAAGGTAGTTTGTTGTCGAGATTTTTGTTACTCTAACGGATGGTAGCCTTGTCATTATGGAAGGTAGTTTGTTGTCGAGATTTTTGTTACTCTAATGGATGGTATCCTTGTCATTATGGAAGGTAGTCTGTTGTCGGGAATTTTATTACTCCAATGGATGGTAGCCATGTCATTATTGAAGGTAGTTTGTCATTGTGATTTTTGTTACTCCAATTAACGGTAGCCTTGTCATTATGGAAGGGAATTTGTTGTCCAAATTTTTGTTACTCCAATGGATTGTAAACTTGTCATTATGGAAGGTAGTCTATTGTCGAGATTTTTGTTACTCCAATAGATGGTAGCCTTGTCATTATGGAAGGTAGTCTCTTATTGATATTTTTGTTACTCCAATGGATGGTAGCCTTGTCATTATGGAACGTAGTCTCTTATTGATATTTTTGTTACTACAATTGATGGTAGCCTTGTCATTTTGGAAGGTAGTCTGTTGTCAATATTTTTGTTACTCTAATGGAAGGTAGCCTTGTCATTTTGGAATGTAGTCTGTTGTTGAGATTTTTGTTACTCCAATGGATTGTAGCCTTGTCATTACAGAAGGTAGCCTCCTGTCGAGATTTTTGTTACTCCAATGGATGGTAACCTTGTCATTATTGAAGGTAGTATGTTGTTGAGATTTTTGTTACTCTAATGGATGGTATCCTTTTCATTATGGAAGGTAGTATGTTGTCGAGATTTTTGTTACACTAATGGATGTTATCCTTGTCATTATGGAAGGAAGTCTATCGTCGAGATTTTTGTTACTCCAATGGATGGTAGCCTTTTCGTTATGTAAGGTAGTCTGTTGTCGAGATTTTTTTTACTCCAATGGATGGTAGCCTTGTCATTATGGAAGGTAGTCTGTCGTTGTGATTTCTGATACTCCAATGGATGGTAGCCTTGTCATTATGGAAGATAGTATGTTGCCGATATTTTTGTTACTCCAATGGATTGTAGCCTTCACATTATGGAAGGTAGTCTCTTGTCGATATCTTTGTTACTCCAATGGATGGTAGCCTTGTCATTCGGAAGGAAGTCTGTCGTTGTGATATCTGATACTCCAATGGATGGTAGCCTTGTCATTATGGAAGATAGTATGTTGCCAATATTTTTGTTACTCCAATGGATTGTAGCCTTCACATTATGGAAGGTAGTCTCTTGTCAATATCTTTGTTACTCCAATGGATGGTAGCCTTGTCATTACGGAAGGAAGTCTGTCGTTGTGATTTCTGATACTCCAATGGATGGTAGACTTGTCATTATGGAAGATAGTATGTTGTCGATATTTTTATTACTCCAATGGATTGTAGCCATGTCATTAAGGAAGGTAGTATCTTGTCGATATCTTTGTTACTCCAATGGATGGTAGCCTTGTCATTACGGAAGGGAGCCTGTTGTCAAGATTTTCGTTACTCCAATGGATTATAGCCTTGTCATTATGGAAGGTAGTCTCTTGTTGATATTTTTGTTACTCCAATTGATGGTAACCTTATCATTTTGGAAGGTAGTTTGTTATCGAGATTTTTGTTACTCTAATGGAAGGTAGCCTTATCATTATGGAAGGTAGTCTGTTGTTGATATTATTGTTACTTTAATGTATGGTAGCCTTATTATTATGGAAGGTAGTCTGTTGTCGAGATTTTGTTACTACAATGGATGGTAGCCTTGTCATTTTGGAACTTTGTCTGTTGTCGAGATTTTTGTTACTCCAATGGATGGTAGCCTTGTCATTATGGAAGGTAGTCTGTTGTCGAGATTTTTGTTACTCTAATGGATGGTATCCTTGTCATTATGGAAGGTAGTCTTTTGTCGAGATTTTTGTTACTGCAATGCATGGTAGCCTTGTCATTATGGAAGGTAGTTTGTTGTCGAGATTTTTATTACTCTAATGGATGTTATCCTTTTCGATATGGAAGGTGGTATGTTGTCGAGATTTTTGATACTCTAATGGATGGTAGCCTTATCATTAATAAAGGTATTCTATCATTTTGATTTCTGTTACTCCAATGAATGGTAGTCTCGTCATTATGGAAGGTAGTTTGTTGTCGAGATTTTTGTTACTCTAATGGATGGTAGCCTTGTCATTATGGAAGGAAGTCTTTTGTTGATATTATTGTTACTTTAATGTATGGTAGCCTTGTCATTATGGAAGGTAGTCTGTTGTCGAGATTTTTGTTACTACAATGGATGGTAGCCTTGTCATTTTGGAACTTAGTCTGTTGTCGAGATTTTTGTTACTCCAATGGATGGTAGCCTTATGATTATGGAAGGTAATCTGTTGTTGAGATTTTTGTTACTCTAATGGATGGTATCCTTATCATTATGGAAGGTAGTATGTTGTCGAGAATTTTATTACTCCAATGGATGGTAGCCATGTCATTATTGAAGGTAGTCTGTCATTGTGATTTATGTTACTCCAATTAACGGTAGCCTTGTCATTATGGAAGGTAATCTGTTGTCCAAATTTTTTGTTACTCCAATGGATTGTAAACTTGTCATTATGGAAGGTAGTCTGTTGTCGAAATTTTTGTTACTCCAATAGATGGTATCCTTGTCATTATGGAAGGTAGTCTCTTATTGATATTTTTGTTACTCCAATGGATGGTAGCCTTTCATTATGGAAGGTAGTCTATTGTCGAGATTTTTGTAACTCCAATGGATGGTACCATTGTCATTATGGATGGTAGTCTGTTGTCGAGATTTTTGTTACTCCAATGGATGGTAGCCTTGTCATTATGGAAGGTAGTCTGTTGTCGATATCTTTATTACTCCAATGGATGGTAGCCATGTCATTATGGAAGGTAGTTTGTTGTCGAGATTTTTGTCACTCTAATGGATGGTATCCTTGTCATTATTGAAGCTAGTATGTTGTCGAGATTTTTGTTACTCTAATTGATGGTAGCCTTGTAATTAATGAAGGTAGTCTGTCATTGTGATTTATGTTTATCCAATGGATGGTAGCCTTGTCATTATGGAAGATAGTATGTTGTCGATATCTTTGTTACTCCAATGGATGGTAGCCTTGTCATTATGGAACTTAGTCTGTTGTCGAGATTTTTGTTACTCCAATGTATTTTAGCCTTGTCATTATGGAAGGTAGTCTATTGTCGAGATTTTTGTTACTCCAATGTATGGTAGCCTTTTCGTTATGTAAGGTAGTCTGTTGTCGAGATTTTTTTTACTCCAGTGGATGGTAGCCTTGTCATTATGGAAGGTAGTCTATCGTTGTAATTTATGATACTCCAATGGATTGTAGCCTTGTCATTATCGAAGGTAGTCTCTTGTCGATATCTTTGTTACTCCAATGGATGGTAGCCTTGTCATTACGAAAGGTAGCCTACTGTCGAGATTTTTGTTACTCCAATGGATGGTAGCCTTGTCATTATTGAAGGTAGTCTGTTGTTGAGATTTTTGTTACTCTAATGAATGGTATCCTTTTCATTATGGAAGGTAGTATGTTATCAAGATTTTTGTTACTCTAATGGATGGTATCCTTGTCATTAATAAAGGTAGTCTATCATTGTGATTTCTGTTACTCCAATGGATGGTAGCCTTATCATTATGGAAGGTAGTCTGTTGTCGAGATTTTTGTTACTCCAATGGATGGTAGCCTTGTCATTAAGGAAGTTAGTCTGTTGTCGAGATTTTTGTTACTCTCATGGATGGTATCCTTGTCATTATGGAAGGTAGTATGTTGTCCAAATTTTTGTTACTCCAATGGATGGTAGCCTTGTCATTAATGAAGGTAGTTTGTCATTGTGATTTATGTTACTCCAATGGATGGTAGCCATGTCATTATGGAAATAGTATGTATTCGATATCTTTGTCACTCCAATGGATGGTAGCCTTGTCATTATGGAACTAAGTCTGTTGTCGAGATTTTTGTTACTCCAATGTATTGTAGCCTTGTCATTATGGAAGGTAGTCTGTTGTTGTGATTTATGATTCTCCAATGGATGGTAGCCTTGTCATTATGGAAGATAGTATGTTGTCAAGATTTTTGTTACTCCAATGGATTGTAGCCTTGTCATTACGGAGGTAGCCTGCTGTTGAGATTTTTGTTACTCCAATGGATGGTAGCCTTGTCATTATGGAAGGTAGTCTGTTGTCGAGATTTTTGTTACTCTAATGGATGGTATCCTTTTCATTATTGAAGGTAGTATATTGTCTAGATTTTTTTCCTATAATGGATGGTAGCCTTGTCATTAATAAAGGTAGTCTATCATTGTGATTTCTGTTACTCCAATGCATGGTAGCCTTGTCATTATGGAAGTTAGTCTGTTGTCGATATCTTTGTTACTCAAATAGATGGTAGCCTTGTCATTATGGAAGGTAGTCTGTTGTTGATATCTTTATTACTCCAATGTATTATAGCCTTGTCATTATGGAAGGTAGTATATTGTCGATATTTTTGTTACTTTAATGGATGGTATCCTTGTCATTATGGAATGTAGTATGTTGTCGAGATTTTTGTTACTCTAATGGATGGTAGCCTTGTCATTAATAAAGGTAGTTTGTCGTTGTGATTTATATTACTCCAATGGATGGTAGCCTTGTCATTATGGAAGGTAGCCTATTGTCAAGATTTTTGTTACTCCAATGGATTGTAGCCTTGTCATTATAGAAGGTAGTCTCTTGTTGATATTTTTGTTATTACAATGGATATTAGCCTTGTCATTTTGGAAGGTTGTCTATTGTCGAGATTTTTGTTACTCCAATGGATGGTAGACTTCTTATTATGGAAGGTAGTATGTCGTTGTGATTTCTGGTACTCCAATAGATGGTAGCCTTGTCATTATGGAAGATAGTATGTTGTCGATATCTTTGTTACTCCAATTGATGGTAGCCTTGTCATTATGGAAGGTAGTCTCTTGTCGTTATCTTTGTTACTCCAATGGATTGTGGCCTTGTCATTCTGGAAGGTAGTCTGTTATCGACATTTTTGTTACTCCAATGGATTGTAGCCTTGTCATTATGGAAGATAGTCTATTGTCGAGATTTTTTATACTCCAATGGATGGTAGCCTTGTCATTATGGAAGGTAGTCTGTCGTTGTGATTTCTGATACTCCAATGGATGGTAGCCTTGTCATTATTGAAGATAGTATGTTGTTGATATTTTTGTTACTCCAATTGATGGTAGCCTTGTCATTTTGGATGGTAGCCTGTTGTCGAGATTTTTGTTACTCCAATGGATTGTAGCCTTGTCATTATAGAAGGTAGTCTCTTGTTGATATTTTTGTTACTCCAATGGATGGTAACCTTGTCATTTTGGAAGGCAGTCTGTTGTCGAGATTTTTGTTTCTCTAATGGATGGTAGCCTTGTCATTATGGAAGGTAGTCTGTTGTTGATATTATTGTTACTTTAATGTATGGTAGCCTTGTCATTATGGAAGGTAGTCTGTTGTAGAGATTTTTGTTACTACAATGGATGGTAGCCTTGTCATTTTGGAAGGTAGTCTGTTGTCGAGATTTTTGTTACTCTAATGGATGGTATCCTTGTCATTATGGAGGGTATTCTTTTGTTGGGAATTTTATTACTCCAATGGATGGTAGCCATGTCATTATTGAAGGTAGTTTGTCATTGTGATTTCTGTTACTCCAATTAACGGTAGCCTTGTCATTATGGAACCTAATCTGTTGTCCAGATTTTTGTTACTCAAATGTATGGTAGCCTTGTCATTATAGAAGGTAGTCTCTTATTGATATTTTTGTTACTCCAATGGATGGTAGCCTTGTCATTTTGGAAGGTAGTCTGTTCTCGAGATTTTTGTTACACTAATGGATGGTAGCCTTGTCATTATGGAAGGTAGTCTGGTGTCGAGATTTTGGTTACTCCAATGGATGGTAGCCTTGTCATTTTGGAAGGTTGTCTGTTGTCGAGATTTTTGTTACTTCAATGGATGGTAGACTTGTCATTATGGAAGGTAGTATGTCATTGTTATTTCTGGTACTCCAATGGATGGTAGCCTTGTCATTATGGAAGATAGTATGTTGTCGATATCTTTGTTACCCCAATTAATGGTTGCCTTGTCATTATGGAAGTTAGTCTTTTGTCGATATCTTTGTTACTTCAATGGATTGTAGCCTTGTCATTATGGAAGATAGTATGTTGTCGATATTTTTGTTACACCAATGGATTGTAGCCTTGTCATTATGGAAGGTAGTCTCATGTTGATATTTTTGTTACTACA